AGGAAAAAAAATCAATACATTCACTTTAAGAGGAGAGATGAAGAATGTTACGAGCATTTCAATCCACAAAAAATAGTTACAATTACACAGGGGAAAAAAAACTTTCCACAGCGATCCCATTAGGATTATTTTTGTCGCTCAGTTCTTTTGTTTAAGGATCTAATTTGGCTTTAAAGAAACATTTCTTTGGGCAGTCTTTTGCAAAATAGAAAAAAATACCTCACCAGATGGACTCACTTTCTCTTTCACTTCCTTCCTTCTGGAGTGTCCCGATTTCATCAGCCTAGGGGCTGCCTGTTTACCGCGGGCTTGAAGCACTTCCCTTGGGACTATCAGGGATTTTGTGATATCCCTGAGACCAGCAAGGCTTTGTCTTCCTGATCACCATCTCTATGGGACAGTTTAGGTCTCAATGGACCCCCCAGCGGCAAAAGTGTCAACGTCGATCTCAGAGTATCGAGACCGCACGTTGTAACATCGCGATGTGGATCCTCCTTCTCAACTTCCAGAAGTTTTGTCTTCCCCAGCAGCCTCACATTCTCTCTTTCTCTTTCTCTCTCTCACTACCATCACACCAACAACAACATAACAATCTTGCTGGTTAAGTTGTCCCAGTTCTTGCCTTCCTTCTAAATTGTGGTATATCACAGAATGCCTACCTTGTCTTGGTCCTCTCCATCCTGGCAGTGTTAACTCAGTCGATGTTATTTCCAAGTTATTTATCAACTTACTTCAGTATCTCTTTTGTCTGGACCTCTTAAAGTATGGATTTAATTTACAGGGTTTCTGGTGCGGCTGGTGGATGGGGACCACGCCAACGAAGGCCACGTAGAACTTCTTCTGAATGGAGAGTGGGGCAGAATTTGTGCTGAAGGCTGGACAGAGAGAGCTGCAGCTGTGGTTTGCAGGCAGCTGGGCTACAGGTAACTTCAGAGCAAGACTCTCTTTAGGAAAAAGTGGTTCATGTAAAGTCAATTTCTGAGTAAAGAAGGCCAAATCTGGTCCTGCGTTCTGCCTCTGCTTACCTTTCCCAATGAGAAACTGAGTCAGAAGATCATTCACAAGCAATTTATTAGAATACGCTGATAAAAGCGGGGTCTTCCTATGAAAAGGGGGAAGCAGAAAAAATGGCTTACTTTTACTTCTATACTTAGGACAACAAAGACCTTCAAAGCAAAGGTTGATTGGTTTAGAAATAGTCATCTGTCCAGTTAATCACAAGAATTAAAACATACACTAATATGTCAGTAAAAACCATGTTTCAAGTATTGCAAAGTCCATCTTCTGTGGCCCTCAGTACCAACTCAGTGCCTTTAGTATGGGGTAGTTTGCCAAGAATGAAGTTCCATTTAAGAAAAACATTTGGCATTTGGGGAGCATTAAGAGGCACTGGAACTAAAACCCTTATTTTGTACCTTAAAATCCCCACCCCTCCAACACCATGGCCCTCATCAGGCTTCACTCTAATTGAGAACCTGCCAGTGTCTCTCTCAATCTGATGGCAAATGAGAGTTGTTGCCTGGTTTACACATAGTTATTATGGCAGATGGTGGAACTATTTAAAGGGCTGGAAATTATCCTTCCCTTTTTTGTAGAAATCACATTAAGATTTGGTTCAATGGGCAAGCACATTTTTGTATATTTTGGTTGCTTTTCTCTTTAACCACAGTTCCATATTTTTAATTGAGTTCCTCTTTGAGCAGAGACATGAATGGACCCTTGGAGTGGACTTTGTGTGTATATTGCAATGTGCTCCCTCTTTCCTTAACAAAAGATAATCAGACTACTGGTGTGCTGTGCCTCCCAGTGCCTCTTGCCAGGCTGGCTCCTATGGAACTGGTGCCCTTCTCCAGGCGTGGCTTTTGTATATGAGGAAAAAGGCAGATGCCTACCACACCCCAGGAGGAGGAAGATTTGTTCTTTTGGCAGATCTCTCACTTGCCTTGAATTTAACAGCCGTGCTAGGTCCCAACTCCAAGCCTTCTCTCCCTTTTCCTTTCGTGATGTTTTTCTTTTGGCCTCTGGTTTTCCTGATGGATTTCACTGCCTTCACCTTTGAGACTCTTTCTTCTGTTCTCTCCTTTCTCCTTTTCTCCATTGCCTTTGTCCTACCAAGCTCTCCTAATTGCCGTTCAACCTGATTATGTGACCTCCTTAAAAATCAAGTCTTTTGCCAGCCACTGCCTGGGCCACTCACATCAGCTGAGCAGAACAGCTGGCAGCCTCCAGCAGACTTTTCCAGTTAGTCTAAGGCAGTGATTTTTCAGCTTCAGCAAGTTTAAGAAGTATGACTTCGACTCCCAGGATCTCCCAGCCAGCATTCTGGCTAGGGATTCTGGGAGCTGTCAGATCCACCAGCTTCAGCTTTGTGCCTTGCCGGCATTCTGTCTGGGACGGGAGAGGAGAACAAATGGACAATAAAACTGTACACCTTTAAGGTGGGAAATTGGGATGGGAGATTTGACAATTGAGAAAGAACAGAGTGTTTTGGAATCCAGTTTGTACTGGCGCACTGGCATCTTCAAGGCTATTTGCCCTGAGTGTGGAATTTCACCAGCCCAAACACCTTAGAGCTTATCTCAGCAGTGCTAGATTGGCTACACCTGGATGGACCATGGGGTGGGGGCAGAGGTGGGTTCCTACAGGTTCGGACTGGTTCAGCTGAATCGGTAGTAACTTGGTGGCCTGGGTCGCTAGAACCGGCAGCAACCCGGGCCTGCCACACCTCTGAACCGGTTCTCCCGGTGGCGCCATAGCCGGTCCATCTTGTTTTTGGCTTCTGTGCATGTGCAGAAACATTTTTAGTACTGCAACCATGAGCAAACCAGTAGTAGTTACTGCTGGAACCCTGGGTGTGGGGGATGGCTAGGGGAAAACCAGGGGATTTTGTTCTGTAGTAAAAGTGCCTTTTCACTTCAAATGGAGTCGAGAGTTTTACTTCCTTAACGGATCAGATGGAGGCAGATCTGACACTTCTTAAACTTGCTGAGGTTGAGAACTCTGATCTAAGGTGAACTTCTGCTGCTTCCCTTTTACCAGTGGCCTGCCTGCCTGAGTTACATGCCTAGATGTGGAGAGACTGGAGAAATTAGCTTGTAGCAGCGATGTACACCTATTCCTTTCCCAAGGGGCCTGTGTGACCTTCTTCTCTTGGCAATTCCCAGCATGGCCTGGGAGGCCACTTCCCTCCTTTACTCTCTCATCTCAGCCAATCATCAGCCCTTCGAAATATAGCAGAATACCAAAATTATGAATCAATCAATTTGAATAGACCTGGAAAGGACCCTGGAGGTGTTCTTGTCAAAACTCCCTGCTCAAATCGGAGACCCTCTACCATTTCAGACAAGTGACTGCCCAGTCTCTTCTTGAAAACCTCCAGTGATGAAACACCCACAACTTCCTAACAGCGAGGACAATTAACCAGAAGAACAGAAGTTTCTTCCAGAAGTAGTGGGCACTCCATCACTGGAAGTTGTCACTAACAGTCACTAAGCAAATGGTTGTAAGTCAAGAACTACCTGTAGTCCTATTTTTGTTCTATGCAGTGGACAAAACACCAACAATATGTTTCAATTTGAGCACAGATTTCTCAAGCAGTGCTTCTGAATAGTTTTGTTCTATGCAAGTTTTTTTATTTTTAGTCTGAAATCAAAAAGCAGGCAAAGCAAAGCATTTTGGGTTTCAATTCTGCCAGACTGTGGCTTATCCAGGACAGATTAGCAGAACCTCTGGTATGTGATCTTTGTTCCAGACTTGAAATAAAACCTTGTCTGGTTCTCTGCATGCTGCTAGCCTGTAGTCACTTCCTGATTAATTTAAGCAAGTCTCTTCTTCCAGTGGTACTGCAGTCACCATCTATAGGCCTTATTCGGATGCATGGCATGTGCCCATCCACCTGGACAATGTGAAATGCTTTGGCACTGAGCATACCTTGGCAGAGTGCATCATCCATCAAAGTGCTCAACACAACTGCAGGCAGAAGAAAAGTGTACGTGTGATGTGTGACTACATGAGAAAGGAGAGCCAATTTATAAGGAATGATGGTAAGTCTCTGAGTCTTGACTTCTTGGGCAGAAAACTGGTTTTCCAGAAATTCATGTTGAGTTGCTGCAACTAACAAGTTAACAGACACAGAAAGGGGCAACTGTGGTAGGAAAGCAATATGTAAAGAAATCAATAACGTAAAGAAAGCAATATGTAAAGAAAGAAGATCCTCTCCATATCCTTTGATTTTGATCTGTAGCTTCTGTGGGCCCCAGTTTCTCTTTCTTGTCAATAAAAATCAAGCATGTAAGTTACGTGGCCATGGGATTATTCTCTGTCAAGAGAATGCAACATCCATGTTTCCAGTGTTGTTGAACTTCAGAATTCAGTTGGTTTCAGGAAAGGCTTAGTTTGGGGATGGCATCAAATTCAGTTCCATTTAAAATAAGTTTTTCAATTTTTTTTCCTTCAAAAAAGGACAAAAAAGCAGATCCAACTGGAAGGAATAGCCAACACCCCAGAAGATAGGCTCAAAATCCAGAGGGACCTCAACAGACTTGAACACTTGGGCCTTATTTTACAAAATGAAATTCAATAATAGAGAAAGTAAAGTCCTACACTTGGGCTAGATAAAACAGAGGTATAGGTACAGATTAGGTGAAACCTGACTCAATAACAATAACTGTGTGAGGGACCTTGGAGTTTTAGTGGATAATCACTTAAATATAAGCCAGCAGTGTGAGGCAGCAGCCAAAAAAGCCAATGCAATTCAGGTTGCATTAACAAAGAGAAAGAATCAAGATCGTGTAAAGTATTAGTGGCACTTTATAAATCCTTAGTAAGACCACATTTAGAATACTTCATCCAGTTTTGGTCACCATATTATAAAAAAAGCAATAGAAAGTCTGGAAAACGTGCAGAAAATAGCAGGAAAGATTATTAGGGGGCAGGAAGCTAAAACATATGAAGAACGGTTGCAGGAATTGCGTATGTCTAGTCTAGTGAATAGGATCGCCAATATGATCGCCAACGTCTGATAACAGATATGACACAAGAAGAAGAAGAAGTCTAGTGAAAAGAAGGACTGGGGTGACATGATAGCTATGTTCCAATATTTGAGCGGCTGCTACAAAAAGAGGGATGTCAACTTATTCTCCAAAGCACCAGAGGGCAGGACAAGAAACCATGGATCGAAAGTAATCAAGGAGAGAAGCAGCCTAGAACGAAGGAGAAATTTGCTAACAATGAGAACAATTAACCAGTGGAACGGCTTGCCTTCAGAAGTTGTAGGTGCTCCATCAGTGGAGGGTTTTGAGACTGCCACTCGTCTGGAATGGTTTAGGGTCTGAGCAGGGAATTGGACTACTAGAAGTCCTCCAAGTTCCCTTCCAATTCTGTTATTCTTTTCTGTTCTCAGTAAGAAGGCTGGAAAAGGTTTTGATCAACTTCTGAAGTAGATTTTAGATTTTATTTGTGATTTATAGGCCGCCCTTTTCCCTGAGGGGACTCAGGGTGGCTTACAATTCGTGGGAGGG